TCCAGACACTTGATTTGGCCCATTTTATATCAGTAGAAGGTATTGCAAGAATTGGTGACAGTCACTCAACTAATGGGATGGCATAGTGAGGGGACTGAGAAGTAATGAATATTAATCATTTTCACATGTGTTTGGGGGAAAAGAGGGTAAAAAGCCACACAAAAGATATGAAAAGGTCACACTTGGGAATGCATCTCATTATTATTGCTTTATTTTAATGGTAATTAATGATTCGCGATAAGACGATTCACCTTACACTGCAATATTGGAGGATACATTAACGTCGTTATTAGAGGCTTTACTATATATATATATATATATATATATATATATATATATATATATATATATATATATATATATATATATATATATATATATATATATATATATATATATATATATATATATATATATATATATATATATATCACACACACACACACACACACACACACACACACACCCACCCACCCACCCACCCACCCACCACCCACCCCACCCCACCCCACCCCCACCCACCCCACCACCCACCCACCCACACATGCATGTAACTGTATATTTTCAGCCTTCTGGCTGCCAAGCTCTTTCAATAAACCATTATTATTATTATTTATTATTATTACACACACACACACACACACACACACACACACACACACACACACACACACACACGGGGATAGGGGGTTGGTTCCGAGGCAGAGGTCAGATTATTGGCCCTCACCTGTATCACTATCCACCACATAGGCTTGCAGGGCCTCTTTGTCAAACCCCTCAAAGTCCATATCCTCACTATCACTGACTTGGGCTGGCTGTGGTGGGTGGCGGGTGAAGAACTCGGTAATGTTTTGTTGACTGGGCAACCTAGTGCGCACCCTGCCCGTGGCGCTTCCCGCGTAAATGATGGAATGTACCTCGTAACTAATAATTGCCGGTCTGGCCAGGTGCCGCGTAAAAGACCAACCGCGTAAAGGAAATCCGCGTAAATCAAGACTATACTGTGTGTGTGTGTGTGTGTGTGTATATATATATATATATATATATATATATATATATATATATATATATATATATATATATATATATATATATATATATATATATATATATATATATACATATACACATATACATATACACATATACAGATACACATATACATATACATATATCTTGATAAAATCACACGGGAAAATGGAAACAACGGAGCACCTTAGCTTTTGTCTTTATTCAAGACATCTGAAGATGTCTTGAATAAAGACAAAAGCTAAGGTGCTCCGTTGTTTCCATTTTCCCGTGTGATTTTATCAAGATTTATCTTATCCACGTTTTCATTGTGGATTTACATGAGATATACATATATACATATATACATATACATACCGGTATATATACACATTGGCCCCTTGGTTAAGAACACAATTCGTTCCACAGAGTCGTCCGTTAACCGAAAATTTCGTTAACTGAATCCATTGTTTCAATGGGACATTGGGTAATTGGTTCCAGCTCACAGAAAAGTACATACAGTACAAAGTAAAAAAAAAAAAAAAAAAAATGCAGTAAAGTACACTTACTTTGAGGTGTGTATGTAATGTAGAAGGTTCCTGGTTGATGATGATGATGATGGGAATTAGAAGTTGGGGTGGAGGAGAAGGGAGAAGAGAAGGAAGTGGGGAAGGAGGAGAAATCACCTTTCAAGGGACCCACGCTTGATGCAGTAATTTCACCAATAAAATTTTAAGTTCACTAGGTGTAATTCAAGATAATTTTATTTAAATCAACACTGCACTGCGCTATATATTATCAATATGCTAACTAAATTTCAGAATGAACAATAATTTTAATGTAAAAATGCAAAAATATTCAAGACACTTACAAATTCGATGTTCACTCCACTGTCAACAAAGCCAAACTGACACCTGGTGGCTGAGTGAAGCGGCTGATGGGCGCAAAAAAAATTAGTTCCCTGTACTGCATATATTATCAATATGTTAACCAAATTTTAAAATGACTAATAATTTTAATATAAAGAATGCAAAAATATTAAAGAGCACAACTTTCTTGACATTTACTCCACTGGAAATGAATGTAAACATAGAACAGATTACTGAATTGGCAGACTAGCCCATCAGCTGATGCTCACAACAAAACGTGTTGTTTGTAAGGATTTCGTTAATCGAAGTTTTGTTCATTAACCGATTTGAAGATTCTTATGGGAGGTATTTCGTTAATGCAGTGATCCTTCGGTTAACGAACACAATTCGTTCCAGAAGGTCGTTCGTTAACCGAAAATTTTGTTAACCGAATCCATTGTTTCAATGGGATATTGGGTAATTGGTTCCAGCTCACAGAAAAGTACATACAAAGTAAAAAAAAAATGCATAAAGTACACTTACTTTGAGGTGTGTATGTCGAAGGTTCCTGGTTGATGATGATGAATGGGAATTAGAAGTGGGGGTTGGAGGAGAAGGGAGAAGTGAAGGAAGTGGGGATGGAGGAGAAATCACCTTTCAGGAGACCCATGATTGATGCAGTAATTTCACCAATAAAATTTTAAGTTCACTAGGTGTAATTCAAGATTTTCTTTAAATCAACACTGCACTGCACTATATAGTATCAATATATTAACTAAAGTTCAGAATGATCAATAATTTCAATGAAAAATGCAAAAATATTCAAGACACCAACAAAATAGATGCTCTCTCCACTGTTTTCAAAGCTCAACTGAGCCATGTGGCCGACTCACGCATCTGATGAGTGCACAACAAACAAGCTCCCTGTACTGCCTATATTATCAATACAGTGAAACCTCGCTTTACACGGTCAATTGAACCCACGGAGGCCCGTGCAAAGTGGGAAACGCGTAATGTGAACAACTGAACATATGGGATTAATTGAAATAGAGACTGGGCCGACCCCCAAACTCCACTTTTTCAGACACAATACCTACGTTGTAGTAAAAATAACTTCTTAATTTTATGATGGTATGCACACACAATTTATAATTAAGAGAAATATCAATAATATTAGGTTTTTTAACACTTACATCAGTAGAAGAGATGGCTGGGCACATGGGGATGGGGGGGTTGGTTCCGAGGCAGAGGGCAGATTATTGGCCCTCACCTGTATCACTTGTATCAATTGTATCACTATCCACCACAGAGGCTTGCAGGGCCTCTTTGTCAAACCCCTCAAAGTCCATATCCTCACTATCACTGACTTGGGCCAGCTGTGGTGGCGGGTGAAGAACTTGGTAATGTTTTGATTACTGGGCGACCTTGTACGCACCTTGTCCGCGCCGTTCTCCGCTTAAAAGAGTACATGCACCGCGTAAAGTGAGCATTCCGGGTCTGGCAGGGTACCGCGTAAACGTGGAAACGCGTAAAAAATAAACTCATAAAGCTGGGTAATACTGTATAGGATTTATTTATTTTTACTTTGACGGGGATTAGCCCACCTGGGCACAGGTCACTGACCCACATCGGGGCCTAGGGGGCAAAAATGTAATAATAATTATAATTATAATAATAATAATAGTAATAAAGAACCATAAAGAAATACAAAAATTTAAAAAAAAAAATCAAGAGTGAGAAACAATATACAGGTGGTCCCCGACTTAGGACTGGGTTAGGGACCCAAATCCAGGTCGTAAGTCCGATATAGATAAAAAAAATAAAATAAAATAAATAAAATAAAAAAAAATACAAATTTTTTTTATTAAAAAAAAAAAAATCTACAATGAAATACAGTACAGTAAAAGTAATAAATAATAAGGAATGGTTACAGTGTGACAGCACTTACCTTTAATGTAGTCAGCTGAATGCACATGGGGCCCCCATAATTTTCTAATTATACATGGAGACTACATTAACTGGAAACGTTTCGGTATAGAAAATGCGTGTCATTTGGGGAAAAAAATAAAATAAAATAAAATAAATGGTCACAACTGCGGCGGTCGTAAGCCGGGGTCTAGCTGTATGTGTATATATATATATATATGCACATACAGCTAGAACCCGACTTCATTTCCATCTATGATTATTATTTTATTTTTCCCAAATACACGCATTTCTGGCATTCCAGTATGTAGTCTCCATGTATAAGAACTATCCAGTAATGACTACATTAAAGGTAAGTAACATCACCTGTAACTTTCATTCTCAATATTCACTGTATTCATTGTAGATTATTTATTTAAATTTTTTTTTTTTTTTTTTTTTTTATCTATGTTGGACTTACGACCTGGATTTGTCCCTAACTAAATAGTCGGGTCTATCTGTATATATATATAATGTGTGTGTGTGAGGGTAAAATATTGGGATTTAGTTATTATTTATTTATTTATTTATTTATTTATTTTTTTTTTGTAAATATGAATAAAATAATGGTGTAAATTGAATCAGGTCCTGAATTCACCAGGGTTTTAAATCTGAATCGTCATTAATAGAAGTATCATTATTGGAGGCATTCCTGTACTGTACAATATATGTTTTAGATACTGATAAATAAAAAATAGAAGGACAGTACATACAGCAGTAAGCATAATAAGATAATATAACGTAGAAATTAAACATTCCTGTAAGCTGAGTACTGTACATGAAATATGATTTTTCTGATAGCGGGTTTAAGGGCATGTTGGCCCCTCAGAATGAAGAAGGTACAGTAACTTTCTTCATAAAGGCCTGGACAAAGTCAACCAGAGTTACTTAGGAAGCTGCTTTTCATGGTAATAAGGGACAGTGCACATACTGTACATGCCAATTTCTGTCCTCAGGACTTAACTTGAGAAGTCATTGATGTCAATGCTCTGGTTGTTTAAGTTTTAATACTGTACTCTTGATAAATCTAAAAAAATTTGAGTAACCAGAAAACATGCCTATTTTACTTAATTATTAAAAATAATACATCATTACTTTTGTATGGGAATTATGTAAATCTTTTGAAAAGCTCTAGGAAGTCAGTACAGTATTTGAAAACTTGCTTTATTTTTTTTGCAGGGGTATGCGTGGCCCTTCTATAAACCAGTGGATGCTGATCTCCTTGGGTTGTCGGATTATCACGAGATCATCAAACATCCGATGGACTTGGGCACAGTTAAGGTAAAGTGATGTTTTTATAGTAAATGGGACATTTTTGAGTGGCCTGTGAGAATACCCTGTGGAAGGACCTGGTTGTCCAAGAGGCCATTTGCATTCTTGAGGCAGTCACTGTCTTATTGGTTCAACATAAATACTACAGTACCTGTCAGTGGAAACAGGGTTCCTTTAAAAGTTATCAAGCAGCACATCTAAACTTGAACCCCTGGCCCTGGGTCATAGTTTTAGACATTTGCCTCACTCCAAGAATGATGACACCTTGGACAATACAGGCCTTGCCTGGATGACCTAGCAGGGCACTTAACATATCTAGGTTCATCCTTGAATTCTTTGTCTAGTGGCACAGTTACAGTGTTGCTTGTATACAGTACTGTACTTAATACAGTAGAAAGATGAAACATGAAACAGGTTTAGGTTACTGTTGATCTTGTTAATCTTAAATTCAGTTAAATTTAATTACAGGGCCCAATGGTAAGATATTGTGTTTAGTGCTGGGGTCTTTCTTCACAACACTAAACAAGACTCACCATGAGTTAGAAATGTTTTTGAACGATATTTAAATTTTATAAAGATGATAAAAATTAACCTAAGAAACAGTAAAATCAACATATTTTTCTTAATCATTCATATATTGACCTCATCAGTACTGTACTATGGGGTGGGAGGGATACATGTCAGGTTTATAACAAAAAAGGTTTTCTTTAAATTTTTGCAGAGTTGGATCCCATCTACCGAGCATTTGTCCAATAGATTTGATTATACAGTACATGTTTAAATTGATGCGATTAATTATTTGCTGAACATGGTGTCTATAAAGTTTCCTTGTTTGGAGCATTATTCTTACAATGATGTATATATTTTATTAAAACTTTCCAAATAAACTTGTTCTCACTAGGTGAAATGCAGAACAGCACGTTCAAGTCTCATGTCAAAGGTCTAGGTCACACATGAAAGTTGAGAGGTGTAATATGGCAAGGGGAAGCCTTATATACCATTCTACTCAGATTATGTGTTTATTTTCAAAGTTTTTTAGTATCAACAGTGTATAGAAATTAAACAACTTATTTATATGCTTTTATCATACAGTATATTATTTTCCTTTACTTTCAGAATAAAATGGATAATAGAGAGTACAAGAATGGTGCAGAGTTTGCAGGAGATGTTAGAACAATATTTACCAATTGTTATAAATACAACCCTCCTGACCATGATGTTGTAGCCATGGCAAGAAAACTTCAGGACGTTTTTGAAATGAAGTAAGTTGAATTTCTGCATATTGTTTCTTTTTACTAGAAGGCATCCTTTATAGTACCCTGAATCAGTCTCAGAACATCTCATGTATAATTATTTGCCGCAGTGTCCAGGCTTATTCTAGAGAAAACTTTTCTTAGGTGGCTAGGGTCAAATCTGAAGTAACCAATGTCTTCATAAAAAGTAAATTAAAGAAGTCAAGGCTACCGCATGTGACTTGGAGCTAATGGAGTTGTGGCCACACAGCTACAGCACTTGCTCCTCATCTCACCTAGACATAAAGCTGGCTTACATTACCAACACTTTACACTGCAAAGGTGCCAACATGTGTCAAAATGAGAATGTCATGTGTGATGGCAGAATGTGATAAGATAACATGAACTGTATTGTATAATACTCTTGTAATATGTGAATGGTTATAAACCTCTTTCAGTATTACAACTTTTTGCGTTATAACTTGGTTGGTGTGCATTTTGTATACTGTCGCGTAGAGTTAATTATCTTTAGTCTACCATTTCACTTCATTGCCTTCATTTTTTTTTTGCACCGCCAGCATTACTATGCACTTAGCACGTCATTAAGAACAAGCCTGGTCGTCATCACATGTCTCCTTTGAGGCTAAGGGGACTCTTTGAAAGTTGAGTGGAGATGTCACTTTGACTCCCACACAGCCTCTGGGGAGTCTGAAGACAGAGTGGTAGTCGAAGTCCTAGTAAGTCTTTTACTTTGGGGACTGGAGGTGTAAGCTTCACAATAAGATGCTTCACCTCCCGAGACGTGGTTTTCCTGGGTGCCTTGGCCTTCCCAGAAGCTTGCTAGACATTTTCAGAGTTGCACTGCTGACTTCACAGTTACAAGAACTGAGCAAAAGCACTTGTCACAATCACAAAAACTGAGCACAATTTGAACATTAGTGATGAAAACATAAAAACAATGATAGCAGCCGACACTGCTCACAACAGAGGCACTTTGCAGTCACACACACAAAAAAAAAACCCACTTCACAAGTCAAAGAATAATTTACAATGTGAATGTTAGTGATGTCTTCTCACTGTCAGTAAAATAGGGGGGGGGGTAACAATGCCGATACTGACTGATAATCGTTGAGCTACACAATCACGGGCAGATGGGATCACCTTGTTACAAAGTGCGGGACTATAGTGCACTGGGTGGCCGCGTGGCAGCGTCTGCGGGTAGATGACGCGGCTGACAAGTGCTGTGAAAGATGCGTTTCATATTCCACGCATCAGAGATGTTGGCCGGATGATGGTCTTAATACATTACCATCGTTCGAGTGAAATATTGTAAATAGGGAGATACCTGTACAGTATACAGGCAATCTGCGACTTATGACGGGATTAGGTACCCAAATCCAGGTAAGTAAAGTCGAAAATGCAAAAAATAATACAGTACATAGAAAATCTAAAATGAAATACAGTACTGTACAGTGAAAGTAATCAATAATGAAGAATGAATACCATCTTGCTGTGCACTTACCTTAAATGTTGTCAGCTGAATGCACACTGGGCCCCATAATTTTTTTTAATTAGCGTGGAGACTACATTAATTGGATGAAGCAGAGGAGGATACAGGGCTGGGTGGGTCATCAATGTAAACTTTCTTGAGACAGGTTAACATACAGGGGATACTTGCTTGTTGAAGGTATTGGATCATCTTTGAGTGAAGGCAGCACTGGTGGAAGTGAGGAGACAGCTGTGGGGAGGACTTATTAAAATATATGTCAATTTAGACCTGTTTTACTTTTCTTTTCACTGTAAATCTCCCTGTATAGCCAGAGTGCATCTTGGATCGATGTCAACTTTATAAAAGCGATCAACTTTTTTGTTCCATTTAAGTCAAACATTTGCATCCTGTTATTAATAATTAGCAAATGCCTCTGCATTTGTTTCACTGAAAATTTTTGGGGGTGCAGATGCTTTTGTTTTGACTCTTCTGCAATTTCTGTTCATCAGTTCAATAAGATCCCTAGTTACTTAACTCTTCTGCCTACACTTTCCACCAACTGCTCAACATCTTCATTATCAATTTCTAACTCCAGCTGTTTTACCCAACTCCACTATCTTGTTACTAATCTCAGAAGTGCTTCATCTTCATTAAATCCTTTGAAACTGTTTGCATATCTTTTCAGGACTTTCTTCCATATTCCATTCATGCACTGACCTGTAACCTCATTCCATGCTGCAGCTATGTTCTTTATACATTTTCCAAAATATTTGTAGTCCTTCAAAACTCTCTCGCATTTCTCACGGCTTCAATGCTTAGCAACAGCCTGGTGAAGGTAAATGCGTGAATGTCGGCTTTAAAAGCAGCAACCAGCACTTATGTGATCTATGGGTGGGATGATAGAGGTAGTGTTAGGTGGAATATCAACAACCTTAACATCAGGTTGCAGAGTGGAGTCCGGGTAGTGGATGTCTAGACATTATCTAAAATTAGTAAAATCTTGAGCATAACCTCTTGTTGCAGACAGTATTCATGGCTGGTGGAGATGAAACAACTCGAGGAACCAATCCTCAAACAGTACTTCTAGGGTCATCCATGCTTTCTTATGACTGCGATAAAACACTGGCAGTGTGTGCTTGCTGACATTTTTAAAGCCACAGGTTCTCTGAATGATATATCATAGAGGGGCTTTATCAGAAACCAGCACCATTCCCCCCAGCAAGTGTGATTGGGTCATGAATGCCTAGAATCCTGGCATGCTTTACTCCTCTTTGGGGATGTATGTCTGTTCTAGCATCACGCTTCAGAATAAGCCAGTTTCATCATTAAATATTTATCAGGCAAGCATTTCCCTCCACGATGACCACGATCCTAGCTCCTCTCAAAAGCTTCAGCAGCACCTACATCAGCACTTGCTGCCTCTCCATTCACCTTTACACTGTGCAAACTGTAATGTTTCTGTAAACCTTTGGAACACCCATGACTTGCTGTGAAGTTTTAGTCCTCATCACCTGCCTGCTCTTTCAGGCTTTCGAAAAGGCTTCTTGCCTTAGCCTGTATGGTTAGAAGGCTTAAGGGTACACTCTTTTGTATCTGATCTTCCATCCACACCACAAGTAATTTTTCCATCCCATGAGTAGGACCTTGTCTTTTTTCCATTATTATTGTTCCCTTTATAGGTGCTGAGCCTTTCACTACCTGCAATTCGTTCCTTGTCCTTCAAAATTGTCAATATCGTCGAGTAGAAGGAATCCTGGAGTCGGCGTGGGAAATGGTTGCTGCCCGTTTTTTCCATTTTCATATTGCATTATCATCTTCATTTTCTTCTCGAAAGTAATTGACTGTCTTCTTTTTCTTCAAGCACCACAGAACTCTCCCTTTTCGCTTTCAGTCATTCTAAAGGGAATTAGAAATGAAAATATTGTCCAGTACACAGCCTTGATCACTACGACAACAACGACAGCCAAACACCAACTGAGGAGTGACACCGGTGACCCAGCCCATCCGGCGCTCTCATGCGGGATGGAAACGTTTGGTCTTAAAAATACGTCAGGAGTTTGAAAATTTTTTTGTACGACTGAGGCTGTCGTATGTCCGGATGGTCGTGTATGCAGTGGGTAAAATTAGGAGTACCTGTCGCGTGATATGAAAATCATGTCAAAATGTGACATCTGTTAAAGCAAATTTTCGTTTATTGGGTGTAATTATATCTTCGGTTATGTATATGTAAATAGGAGGTGACATCCATATTTGGATTATTCATCATTGTGATAGGTTTTTTATTTTGAATTTCTAAACACGTGAAGTGCTGTTGATACTCAGCTTCACATTAATATTCATTGTCCTCTCCTTTTTGGGAGACTTGTAACCTACCCTTCCTCTAAGGATTTTGTAGACCTATTTAAGTTATCTTTTATTGCTTGTTTGGTTTTGGAGTGCAGACTCTTGGTTTTCACTAGCTGTACCACTCACTTTTAAAGGGACTAAAGATGAGTCGGAAGAGTCTGTCTCTAGTTTTTTATATTTTATCTGGATTTCTGAGGTGTGGTCCAATCATTTGTTGAGTGTCTTAGGAACCCTGGGACGACATTTTGCAACTTCGATGATGTAGTACTGTACAGTACATAGTGTCCCCTGATCCATGCCAAGTTGTTAAATAAGAATGCAGGATAAATCCTTCCTTTTATTCCAGTTTGGTTTCCTTAATGATTTGTCTGTGTCAGAATTGTTAATGCATTTTCCTGACATGTAGTCAATGAATAGAGAGTGACATGATCTCCTGCCTTTTGACCTTACAGGTGCTACAAATATACCTAGTCTAGTTTAGGTTTAGTTAGATCTGTTTTGTTTATGTTCCCAGCCTGGAGCCTCAATTAACTGACTGTTGGCTATTTCTAGACTCATTTCATTGCTGGGTGATAACTGAAGATCCTGAGTTGAGGCCTAATGGATACTAAGTGGTTCTCATAAGATTAGTTTTTGTGGCTTGGGTAGTCTCTCTTTGAAATAAATTACCTGTTTGGATGAAAAGTACTGAACATAAGATCTAGGAGCTACTTGCCACCAACCTCCTTAACATAAATAATGTGTGATACTCTAGTTGTTCTGAGGTTGTAAGCAGAGGTCTGATCCAGAAAACCCATTTTTTAACTAGCCATTAAGGAATAGCTTTGGTCCCAACTACAGTATATCCTTCAATGCACATGAAAAGTGGCTCACTTCTCATAAGAATCCCAACTGTCAGTGGCAGCCACAATTTTTCTCTCCCTTCATTTAAGTGCCTTATTTTAGGGCTTCTTAGGCTAAACATGGATGTTTTAACAGAGCATTAGTATATGTGACTTGGTCCTTGATCTCTTGGATATAAAATGAGTTTTCAGGATCACACTTACATTTCTGTTTATGCATTTTAAATGTGTAGTTGGGAATTTTTGAAAATTGCTTGTCTCAAAATGTTTACTTCGAAGGGTTAAGTGGTAAACAATTTTCTATAGTTATTGCTTTTGCTTTGGATTCTCAAGGTCTACTGTAAATTTAAAAGATTTTGACATTAGAATAAAGGCTTACAGAAGTAACACCTTCAGTGGACACTGGGTTGCCTGAGCTTCTGATATTGCTAGTAAAGATTTCTTTTTATGAGCTGGTGCACCCTTTACTGATCTTTTGATCTACTCGGTGATAATATTGTAGCAAAAACGTGCCACAGCTTGCTGACACATTACTTTTGCAACAAAAACAGGTGTTGAAGTGTGGTTGTAAACAAACTGGTAGATCTTTGTACACCCCACTTGAGACTTGATTGCCAAGCTGTTGGCTGTTGATACAAGCCGAATAATCACTGGCTCATTCAGCTGCGGTTTATAAAGAGGCTCTCTTTTTGGTGTTTGGTCATCTGTCCTTGGGCCACACACTCTTGGAACCCCAGTAACACTTTTAGAGTCTAGGCAATGGTACCCCAGGTAGGAAGTGTCCATAAACTTGCCCAGTCACTCATATTTTTTATTTAATTATTTTATTTATTTATTTTTATTTTATTACTTTTTATTTATTTATTTTTTTCGTGTGTGGGGGGTGGGAGCTTATTGAAACTCTTGAAAAATGCTCTGTTACGTTTGTATTGCTTTGCTTCACAAAAGAGAATACAAGTTTCCATACAGTTAGTGTTAGCCACTCCAAAATCCAACACTTTTCCAAACACTCACAACACACAAAGAGCAGCTCTCTTTGTTTTTATGCACTCGGCCAATCAATGCCAAGCGCTCCGTTTACAGTACCTGTACTGTACCAATTTGCTGCACTTAAACTGTGGATACGTTCTTGTTGACTCCATTTTTTTATTTTAGTGACTTTTTTATTCATCATGTCTGAAAAACAGCCTGCAAGTTTTAATGCTGCTAGTGTATCTAAAGTGCCACAGAAAAGAGTCTCCTTGGTTATAAAATTATAAGTGTTGGGGTGGTTGGAAGCTGGTGAGCATCAGTTGGATGTTGATGCTGCTTTCATCTTGGCTAGATTGACTGTTAGAAACATTATTAAGAATGCAAACAAGATAAAAGCTTCAACCATGACAATTACAAAGTTGTTTAATTAAGTGACGGTCTTATTGTATGACATAAAATTGTGTGTGGTTAACTGAAGCACAATATGTGGGTTGGAGATGAGGTGCTGAGGAGTGCTTGGCAACACCCAGTGTGTGTTACCACTCCCATTTACTCCACCTCTCTAATCACCCCCACCTTTCTGCTTTCTCACTCCATATTTTAAAATGCTATGTAATGTAATGTTGAATGGACACAACGTGATTGCTCATTTATACTTATACTACTGTACCCAATTTTGTGGGTAGATATCAGTTGTTCAATAGCATCTGGCAGTGCTGCAGGTACAGTGTTATCAAAGAAACCAATAGACACATCACCTCCTCACCACTTAACCACAATCTCCCTCACCACCACCACCGATCTTCATCACCAACCCCACCTCCATCATTACCAATCCCATCATTACCACTACCTCTATTATCACCACCTAAATTATAATTTCAGTGATGCAGAGATAGATTAGCATCAACCAGAGTGAGCCATACAATATCCATTCCTTCCCACCCACGCACTGCATCACATATTCGTTCATCAAACAATTGTCATTCAAGATACAATATTGTTTATTTGTTATTCATTAATTAGTAGATAAATGTTACTGTAATAATCTGTGTTTACTGATACTTGTGCCCTTTGTATACAATACTGTACTGCATATCTCATAAGAAAAAAATCATCAGGAACACCTCTCCATATATGCAATGGTATAATGACCCCCTAGAACGCTGTTTTGGTTAGCACTATTATCCAGGAATTAATCCTGAGCACTTAACGGGGTATTACTGTATTGGTGTTGTTAGTGGCAGAGCGGCTTAAAGAAAATTCTACATATGATCATTTTCCAAGTCTTGGAGGGAACAGTTGGAGCGAACAGTACAACAAAGTAATATAGTAGGCAGTTCTTTCTTTTGATCTGAATGCTCTTTTTCCTTGAAACAGATATGCCAAAGTGCCAGAGGATGAGCCATTTGAAATTCACCCAGCAACAGACTCTGAAGAGTCTGACAGTGAAAGTGAAAGTGAAACAGATGACTCAGAAGATGAGAGAGAAAGAAAATTAGTTCAGCTTCAAGAGCAGCTACGGCAGGTGCAGGAACAGATGAAGGTGGGTCTCGAATCTGTAAGTTGTTCCTGTTTGTCTTTAGTCTGATTTCCCCTCCCCCTCTTTTTTTCAAATTTTACTGAAATGTCACTTATGTGTCATGGTATGTACAACGAACTATTTTGTCTTCTAATGTTTTGTTTTTTCCATCGACAGTTTATTTTGTACAGTAAGCAGTACCTGTTGTACTGATGTCATTCTGTATAAATCCTGGTGCTTTCTTTGGAGAATTAATTCTTTAGCCAATTTTTCATAGACTATGATTGAATTCTCAAATGTTCTTGTTTTATTATTTTAGTGGTAATGCAGCACTAAGGTAGAAAAGTACATTTCCATATTTTAGTCTTATCTTCATCATATCATCATCATCATAATTATTGAAGAAGGATATGCATATTTGGCATTATTAACACCCTTAGATACCCTTTTCAAGCTTTAGTTATCCATTTATCTTCTTGGTCTCATGAATATGGCTCTACACTTTTACTTGAAGTATTTACACATTATTTATTTTGTAACTCATTCCCAGATTCCTGTCTTGTCTATACAGTACTATGCTCACATCCACAGAATATTGTACTGTGTGTATTTGATTTTTTCTTCCTGTTAAACTACACACATATGTTACATTTTTACAAAGCTTCTATGCATATTTTTTTTAATAACATTCTACTTGCAATGGCTTAGCTTTGATATTATATGATTGGATGATAACAAATGCTAGTGTGTGTCATGTTTGTATGTACTGTGTTGATTATAATTAAAAAAATATGAAAGTAATTAGAAGGGTAACATTGGAGCAAGCCAACATATTTACACACACACATACACACATATACACACACAAAGCAAACATTATACTGTATTTACAATAAGCCCCACATCGTGAGTTGTCACCCTCTATAGCGAGAAGGGGTTAGCTAGTCCGATACCTTTGGATTTCAGAATGACCATCTCTTCGCAAACCATCTCTACCTGTCACCTAGGACTGAATCTGGGTCCTCAGGTTGTGAAAGCAACGTCCTACTCATCACTCCTTGTAAAATTCACCACAAGTAATTTTCTCAATAATATTTTTTTCTTTTGCTACTGTTATTCACGATGCTACACATTATTTTAATACAAATCTGGCTTCCTGAAAGTATGCATGGATGTGGGAAGTTATCCTATGAAGCTCCTGAGAAACTAAATTTTTGTGTTTGTTGAGGGGAATGAAAAAATAAGGAGTTTAGATAAGTTGTAATATTATTTTGCCTAAAGAACTTTCCAATTTGTCTGTCTGTGTCTGTTTATAGTACACCTTTACCTATGTTCAGAGCAAAATAGCTTTTAACAATATCCTCTCCCAACATGATGGTTGCCAACTTTCTATCTACTCGAATGTCAAAACCCCTAAACCCTGTTTTTTAAATACTGTAATTAAAAAATAATTATGTTTATGTTGTTGAGAACTTCATTTTGATGGATTTGTTTTTTATTGAATAAATATTAAGGAAAGAAGAAAATTATCTGAGAAACAATGCAGAATAAGACAAAGAAAAGTTGAAGAAAGGGGGGAATGTACTTAAGAATTACAAAGACAGTTGTTGTTAAACGTTGGTGTTGAATTTTAGTTTGTGATTGTCCAGATTATCCTTATAAGATGGAATAAGTAAAATTAACCATTAGTAGTGGAGGTGTACTCATTAAAGGTGACTTTCATTGGACCATTCTGGGCTATAAAATTTTGTTTGAATGATGCTTCAGTTGGACTAAAGAAGTGCTAACTTAATCAAAACTTGAATATATAGTATGCAATTTACCAGTGATCTTCCATGAATTATGGTTACACAGTTATTCCATAAAATGAAACCTCAGAAACAATTTGGTATTTTTAGCTCATTAATTATTTATACTGTACATATTTTTACACTATACAGTATAGCAACATCATAAATAGGTACAGTATTAACAAAGAATAACATGTCACTAGTAATTCTCAGTGTTTGACAATTTGTCTGTAAACCACTGTAACCCCGACAGAAAATTAAATTTTTTTTTGTACAGTATTGGTGAGTATCGGATACAACCACAACTTCATTGAACCATTCATTATGGCAACTGGTTCGAATAGTACTGTACACCATTACAGGCAACATGATTATATTGATATTGTAATATTTTATTCTTATCTTGGATTATAGTGATAATCAGTTGTGATTGTTTTTATGACTAGTTTTATATTGTGAGAACACAAGAAGGCCTTTACATTTTGTGTTGAACAAATACAATGTTTGATTGACTTTATGGAAATTTTGGAATGAGAATCAAGAAATTGTTGTACTTCATGGTTGGTGAAAGGGTATTTGACTCCCTGTAAGGAGATGAGAATGGGTTTTCTGGTTAATATTTACTTCCATTGATTTGTAATACTCTGCAGTAGAATATGGAAATATATGGGGCTTTCTCTTGCCTTTCCACCTATATGTCCAGTCCTCCTGCCTTTCGAAATGTTTTCTTTCAGTATCAGCAAGAAATTACATATCAAAATTAAATTGACTTGCAGCTTCATATTTTGAGAATTTAGGATCATCTAAGCTGTTTGGTAATTGGCATTTTCCATTTTTATTTACTGCTGTTATGACCTTTTATCAACTTAGAAATAGTGGCAGGGCATACAGTACATCATAAGAAAGTTTTAGTTTTCTATTCAACTATTTTTTCCTTCTTCCTTTTAAAACTAGATGGCTTAATAGGAGGACATATTTCTGTGGCAATAAATCCTTAAAGAGATTAAATATCCAGATCAGTAAATCATTGCTCCCGAGATTTTTAAGTTTTAATTTTCCCTGAACCATAGATTACATTATCAATTACATAGGAAATATTTCTACAGTACCATTGATATTCTTGCAAACACAGTTTGGCCTATAATGAATGAATACTTGATTGATAAGCTGATGCTTTATCCCCTTTGATGTGAATCCTGAATAGTTAGCTGGGTCCACAATATATTTGCTGCAACAACACCACTTTTAATATTTTATTTGACTGGTGCCTGATGATTTTATTCATTACACGGGGTTAAGGTAGAAAAAGGTTAACTTGTACTCGTTATTGATATGTTTAGGAGACTAGCAAGGAAGACTTAATTTAGTAATTACAGCCCCCCAAAAAACAAAACAAAAAACAATAGGTAGAGGGTGATAAAGTTGCAGTGCTGTTCAGGATTTTGATGCAAAACTACAGTATTAGAAAACCTTATCATTCACATCATCTGTGTACTTGCCATTTTGTAAAAACACAGGTTAGCTAGAAAAATTGTCATGATAAATCCAATTGAAGGTAAGAGCTTACAAATAAAGATTAATATGCACCAGCACCAAATAATAAAATTCAGTGCACTGCAACTTTTTTAACACCCTTTTAAAAAGGCATTCATCAGACTGCAGCTGGTTAACAGATTGTTTAGTCAAAGTGTTGTGTGGAAAAAGTGCTCATATCTGGCTCTAGGCTCAAGAAAGCAATGTGGCTTATTAACTTGATCACTGACATTTGAGCCACCAAATATTTTGGTTCGTGGAACTTTGAATTTGGAAAGTAATTAAGTGCAGTTTTTAATTTAATATTTATCTTATTGGCACTCAATATAATTTGATTAGATATGGGGTAAAGGGAGTTCTTGGTTAAGTTGAATGGATAAACCAAGTTACTCTGTTTATGGCACACTATGCCTTGTTCAGTAGATAATATGGCAAGTCACTCCACAAACAAGCACAGTTATCCCTCACTTTATAAAAGCTCTTTTGATGTAATTTAAAAATTTGGAACAAAAATTTACATACTGTATATGAATGCCAATTCATAATGAAATTTGTCAAGAGGAAATTTCATACCATGCTGCATGGCCTGGTGGAAACTGTTTCATCCTTTGTTTACCTGCAGATATTACTACCATCACTGGTAAGTGTAGGTATAATTTTTAATTTTTTGAATACAATAGATTAGATTAAATTGTCTGAAAAATAGAATTTAGTTAAAGCAATTATGAGCAGGTTAAGAGGTGAGGAGGGTGAAGTGGCAGTAGGGATGGCTGACATTGAAATTGACTCTGCTTACAAATGTTTATGGCACTTAATGCAGCTTTTTATTATTATTTTTATTTTTTTTTAAGATAAACATGCATAACAAAATTATATGCTAGTATTTATTGTAAATGCCAGATGTTATGAGATTTTATCAAGTGTCATAAACATTTGTAAGCCGAGTAAAAGACACTGCTGACCATAAGGATGAAGGTGGAGACAGCCAGCTGGCAATCATTTAGTAGAATTTCCTAATATCTTTTATTAAACCCGTCTCGTCTGGAGTTTTTGGTGGTTTCAATAAGTCTTGCATTCAGTTCATTCAAGAGCTCCAGGGCATTGGTGAGATAGGTAGGTGCCTGGGTGGAAGCACTTGTGTATTACCACACCAGTTGTTTACTATCCTTCCAGGGTAGTGTGATTCTGTCTAGCGAGTGTTTGTTGTTGGATCTGTAGATCCCAGGTGCTGGGCTACCTGCAGTAGTTAAGAGTCCTACGATGTCAATAACTTCATTTTGTCTCCATCATTAACTCTGGAGAATTAACAGACACTTGGAATGTAATGGTTCCCACTGAGTGGCACCCTCCCTAAAACTTTGGTCATATACTCCTGCAACTGTTCAAGGGTGTTTGGGAACAATCGTCCATGCCAGTTTGTTTATTTTAATGTGCTATGCAGGAGGATAGGAATGGTGGCAATGTGATCTGGGAGGCATTTTGAACACCAGTTCCTCCCAGGCTGACTAGGAGAATTGCTTGTTCATATTGAGAGTCCTCCAAGGAGAGGTTCATAACTATTGTGAACATGGCCTTTATGAGGAAATAAAAGGCATCATTGGCATCCCGGTGGCCTATTCTCTCTTCCATCATTTTCATGTTGTCCAGATTACTTTGGAGGATGATAGGAATCATGTTGGCACCCAGAGGTACCCTGAACAGGATGCTGTTGTCATG